CCCGCCTGTTTTCAAATTTCTTTTCTTTTTTTCTTTTTGCCGGGTTCTGTCGTCATCATCATCATCATATTTTTCCAACATTTCATCATCATCATCATATTTTTCCAACATTTCATTAGATTAGAAAGAATAAAAAGTGAAAATGTGAATAATAGTCATTATAATTTGCTATTTCAATAACAGTCTGGTGAATGAACAACATTGAGTTAGCTGTGATAATAATGAAGTATAACAAAACAATGATGTGATTAAAAATTATGATAAATTTAATATTATCACATACTAGTTTATGATTAAAATAGAAAAACATGGACAATACTAATTACCACTCATTTTGGTTTACTCATCCAGCTCATGCCCATTTTTAGGAAAATGGTTCTCAACACAGTTTAAAAGAGAATGCAGTCCCAAACCACTTCTACTTTATGAAATCTAATAATGTAATTTGCATTATTATAGATCCTGTTATAATGGATCAAAAGAACTCACCTTTTCTCATTACATAATTGAAAAACTGCATGATAGATATTCTTCCATTGGGATCACTATGAAGTAATTTAGTAAAAATTTTAGCTGTGAAGAATTGCCTGTGAAACATAAATTTAGAACTGAAATTTTGAAGATGTAATGTCTTTGCAGATTGAATGTAAATTGAATAATGAATAATTGAATAAATAAATTAACAGAAATTTGTATTCTAAAGATATTTCTGATATTCTGACGCAACTTGGGGGGAAAATTTATCAACCCACTGAATTTCATAGAACCACCTATCTGTACTTTTTACACTTCCCCCCATAATTTATATATAACTTGAAATTGTTCATCCTGTTTTCCTATCTTTGATAAATTAATATTCAAATCCATATTCAAATAGATCATACAATCTATCAAATATTCATTGCTAATTATTTAGCGACCATTCAAATTACGACAACAGTGAATGATTGGTGCTTACGACCAGTCCTCAAGTTCTGGCTATTCCAATACCCTTGTGGTCACATGATCACAATCTGGATGCTCAGCAATTGCCTTGCACTTGTGATGGTTAGTGTCCCTCAGCCACATGATTGCAATTTGCAACCTTACCTGCTGGCTTCTCTCAAGGAAGGAAACCAGCAAGGCTGCAAGTTGCTTGGGTTAAGTCCCACCCACTCGGGCACCTTTGTGCACTGTCCCCAAACCCTAGCAATAGCACCTCCACTTCACAGTGCTTTACAGCTCTAAGTGGTTTACAAAATCAGCATGTTGCCCTCAACAATCTTGGTCCTCATTTTATCAACTTTGAAAGGATGGAAGACCTAGTCAACCATGACCCATTAGGATCGAACTCCAGAGTGTG